ATAGTTTTGAAAAGATTAGGACATTAGTCACAAACCAGATGCCAAAGGCGGTGTTGATCCATTCCCGTAACCCCACCTACACCCACCGGGCAGCTGGCGCTGGGGCTACTACTTGTTTACATAGTAGGTGGCCACTTTCATCCCCCATGACCTATTTTTCTCTGGGGCCCACAGGCCGTTTGAATGGGGGTGTGATGGGGATGTCCTGTTTGTCCTTGTGGAGGGGGCGCTCTGTCTGCCGTTTCAGGAGGAATCGTGGTCTCGCTTCGGGGTCTTCTGGAGCGGAGGTGGGGTCTGGCCCCGGGCCTTCCACTGCCCTTTCCTCTGGAATGGCTTTTACGCGTGGTGAGGGCTCTGGGGGTTGTCAGCGGAAACCACCCCACCGTGCACTCAGGACCAGTGAAATAACCATCGGGTGGGTTGTCCGACTGGTTCGACCCACTATGAGGAGGACCCGGGCCAAGGTTCCCTTTTTCCCCTGGTGATGAGGGCGATAGCATTTTAGGTCCCCTGAAATGTATCAGCTCAGACCACACCCCACAACCTTCAGAAGGTCTGGGGGAGCCACTTTCCTTAGGACTCAGGTACTCTAAGTCCCATTGGGGAAGGACTGGGGGACTATTGTGTGTACAGTACATGGGGTGGCCTTGCAGGGCCCTCCCTCCAGGGGATCCGTCCCGCCTTCTGTTCAGTCAGTTGGCTGTTTGTCAGAGCTGGCACCTGGAGGAAGGGATCAGTTTTCCATTGTAGGAGCTGACCTCAGCCTTTGTTTGTTTTTTCTTGTTGGACACGTCAAGCAACTCCCCAACTGTCCCACCCTCTAAGAACACTACGGTTCATGCGCCGTTGCTTGAGATCTCTGCTGCCCAGCACACCTGGTTGCCACTCTGGCCTTGCTGGTCATTGTGGTCATTATATCCACCCGCTCCTGATGCTCAACGGTCCCTCTTTGATTATCAGAATCTCATCATCACTGACACTAGGGAGCCCAGGGCCACACAGCATCTGTCACCCTTTTGCTACAGAAGACAACACCCTCATTAGGCTTCTCAGAGATGCCAGGCTCCTCCTCACCCGCATTCCTCACTGCAGGGAGTGTCCTGGGGAATACAGTCGGATGGTTGGTTGTGAGCCATCTCACACCTTCCTCAGGAGGCCAACGCAGTCCTGGCATCTCCAGCTCATTTCCTGCAGGCCTGCATCACGGCCAGGTTCCGGGGAGCCATCCCGGCAGCACAGGGACGGGCTTAAGGTGCTTTACGAGATGCTGACTCACACGCGTGGGAGAGTGCACCATGTCAGCCAGTTTCCCTCTGTCCAGTTTATATTCTGACCCCTCGAGATGCATTCCCAATGTGCCCCACGATCAAGTCCTGAGCCTTCCTTTTCTGGAAGGAGATGTGGGTCTCTAACCATTGCCATGGAAGCCTCTGGCGTTCACAATGCTCAGAGTGAATGGCTTATGTGAGCCTGTCAGCCAGCCTCTTTCTTTAAAGCTTTCAAGTCTGTTGCAAAAGCCAGACAACCTCACAGTCCTTACGATGACCAGTAACACACCCCACTCCAGGGGCAGAGCTACTGCAGATGCCACTCCTGCCCTCCTGCCTGGACCTCCTGCCAGCCCAGCCCAGCCCAGGTGAGGGCCTTAGTATTTGTATTGTGTACCATGGGGTGTCACCACCCACTTAGCACCAGCCCAGGGTTCTTGCTGCTGTTTGACACATATGAGAAATCCAGGTGCAGACTCACATCCTGAGCGTCTGCTGTGTAGGCCAAACCTGGTACCTGTTGTCTCCATCTGGGTTCCTCTGGAACAGTCACATGAAACGGGGGCTTGGGTGCAGGTGGCCTGAGAAGTGGTTCAGGAGGGCAGAAAGGAGGGACAGGTGGAAAGAAGCAAACGCCTATATGAGGATGCGTATCGTGGTTCTCACTTGGCAATGGCCATGATTCTCCCAAGGTAATTTTTCAGAGTAATGAGTAATCTAGCAATCTCCAAAGATGACCAGTGAATTTTCCCCTTCTATGTATCGTTACAGACTCATAGGTGTTAATATCTAGTTTGGGTGTTTTTCTGTTGATATGTCTCTTAAGTCTCTTTCTTTTTTAAAACCAATGCTCGCCCGGCCAGGCGTGGCTCAGCGGTTGAGCATCGACCTAGGATCCAGGAGATCGTGGTTCAGTTCCTGGTCAGGACACACACCCAGGTTGCTGGCCNTCAGGACACACGCCCAGGTTGCTGGCCTGATCCCCAGTCGAGGGCGTGCAGGAGGCAGCCGATCAATGACTCTCTCATCATTGATGTTTCTACCTCTCTCTCCCTCTCCCTTCCTCCCTCTGAAATCAATAAAGACATATTTTAAAAAAACAAACAAAAACTAATGCTCAAAATTTTCCACCTGGGGGCAGTGGAGCCTCTAGAGTTCAGCCCCTGTGTCCTGCATCCCCCCCAAGCCCCTGGTCCTGTGGGCTCTACCTGCTGTTCACTGCCCACCTCCCTGACACCACCATGGTCCATGTCTCTGCTTCCTTTTCTGCCACTTCAGTAAAAAGCCAGAGTCTTGAATATTTGAAAGCACACATTTGATCCTATTAGTCTTCTGTTTAAGTTGCTCTCCATAGCTCTGGGCATAAAGTCCAGGCCCTTGAACTTGGACTTCAAGGCTCTTTCGTCTCTGCTTCAGCAGCTGTCAAGCTCCATCTGAAGTGAGATCTACGGCCCCTTCCCTGCGGCCTGCCCTCTCTCCGCCAGTCTCACACACAGTTTCCTCTGCCTACCTCACCTTTCGTCCTGGGGTTTCACTGAGGCCAGTAGTTCTCAATCCTGCTGCACATTATATCATCTGGGCAGTTTTAAGAAATACCAATGCCCGGGCTCCCCCCAAGATCAATTACAATCTGAATGTCTGGAGAGAGGGGCCTGACTTTGCTATTTTTAAAAGTTTTCACAGGTGATTTGGACATGTGGCCAAGGTTGAAAACCACAGCGTGGGGTGTCCCTTCCTCTGGGAAACTTTCCCTCACCGCACACACCTCTGTACATGTCACTGATTACCGCTGTAGCATCCTGCTCAAAGCCTTTTTTATCCCCAGCTTTATTGTGATATTACTGATGGGTAACATTGTGTAAGTTTAAGGTGCACAACATGATGATCTTTATCATCTAGGCCTCGCTAGGTTAGCTCTTGGGTTTCTCCCATGTTAGACGGAAGCTTCATGTGGGCTGTGGCCACATCTGTGTGGTCTGTGCTTACTCAGCACATAGTAGGTGCTTGGTAATATTTTTCAGTGGATGGTATGGAGATATTTGGGCTGGATTTTGAGGTTGTTTTAAAATACAGGGATGGCACCCTACTGTGTGGGATAAAGGCCAGATTCTTATTGTCCACCAACGTAATTTTTCCGCCAACTGCTCTCCAGCTTTTCTGAGCCCCTCCCCCTAGACATATGGACTGCAAATAGTCCTTTCCTTTGCCCAGTTCTGCTCAAAGTTGCTTACTTCCTGCAGACCTGTTCAAAGAGTGTCCTCAACTCTTAGGCCACCTTTGAGCTCACAGAATTTGTGGGAAACCCTTATTGACATTTTGTCATATACATGCTGTGTAATGTTTTCAAAATTGGGGCACCTGCTGTATGAAATAATTTTTGTACTTTGTGAGTTTCTTGAGGAGTATCTTGCCTTTGAATGGAAATTAAAGCCTTGGTTTACTAGAAGAATAAATTGACATTAAAATGATTATTTTATGATTAACGAGGGGGGGGAGTAGCTTTAGTGGGGTATAACTCACATACAGTAAAGCTTTCCATTTGTCCCAAAGCAATCTACTTGGAGTGTTTTAACTTACAGTCACAGTGCTTTGAGGTCCTTGTTGGACTTCAGGCCATGTGTGACCTAGGACACATTCTCTCACCGTTGCTTCAGATATGATTTCAAGACATCCCCCAAGGCTCTCACAGACCGCTGCTGCTGCTGCGAAAAAAGATGTTTTAAAAGTTCATATTGTGACCTTTGAAAGCCTAAAAGTACACAAGGAATCTTACCAACGATGAAATGGTTCCTTGTAGCCCTGGTCCTGTTGGCACGTGTGGCCCATTGCTGCCTTTTTCACCCACCAGGGGGCAGTATTTCCCTCTGCCCAACTGTTGGCCTCCCCCTTTCAAATCCTAGCATGTTTAGTCATGCCAAAAAAAGTGTTTCTCAAAATTTGATTTGACTGCTAGAAATACATCTTACATCGCAACCCCGTGGGGACATACGTACGTATGCAATTCTATACGTGTATATAAAACAAAAGTTTCATAAAGTAATGCTCTTTACTATGTGCAACGCACTCAACTTTCTAGTCTCTTTTATTAGCAAAAGGTGCCGATCATCACCCAAACTGAGTTCATGACTCACGAACTGGGCCTCAGCCCACAACCTGAAAAATACTGCTTTAGAGTTCACTTAGTCTGACATCCTGCATATTTATGGATGCAGTAGAGAGGGACTTACCTAGGTCACTGGGGAACTTTTAAGATGAGGCTTCAGGGCCTCGGACTTCTAATCTGTGGCCTTCAGCCCACTGACATTACTGTTGAGGTACATCCGGTGCTCCAGCAGGTCACAGCCACAGGAGGGAGGTAAGCACACGTGTGTGTTATATTCCCGGCACACTGGGCTTTGCTACACCAGGAGAAGAGTCACCGCCAGCAGGGTTTTCTCTGTGGGGATAAAACTCCTGCATCTCAGCCACTGGTTGTCAAATGGGTGCTGGACCCTGGGAGGTAAGCCCTGTGGAATCCTGCGCCTGGGTCCTCCTTGGTGATTCCGTTACCTGAGCACCTCCGGTGAACCTGGCTGGCTTAGCCGTGGTTTGCTTTGTAGCCCAGAAACCAAACATTAACGCCATCGACATATTATGCAAATTAAACAGGCAGGGAGTCGCTTGCCGCAGTCAAAGTGTCTACTTTCCAAAACCTGAAGGTGCCGGTTCTCAGGTGGTCTCATCCTTGCTCCGTAGAATGCGTCCCAGAGAACGTTCGAGATCGACTACAACCGCAACTGCTTCCTTAAGGATGGCCGGCCATTCCGCTACATCTCGGGCAGCATCCACTACTTTCGCGTGCCCCGCTTCTACTGGAAGGACCGGCTGCTGAAGATGAAGATGGCTGGGCTGAACGCCATCCAGATGTAAGTCGGGGGCCCTGGGCTCTCACCTGGGCCCGGACACCCACACCCGGAGAGAGGGTGCGGCCGCATTGCTCAGGATGGGAAAGAGCATTTGTCTGGTGTTCTGGGAGGGGCTTGTTATGAGCCTGATCGGCCCTTCTTCAGATAATTCATCACCTCTCCCGATCTGGAACTTCATTGCCAGAAATCGTGAAATGAACATCAGCTTAAAAAGGCAAAGGGGAGTCACAATGATTGAGCCTTCGCCATGTGCAGGGCACTTGACATGAATGATTCCATTTCTTTGACATACTCCCATTCCCATTTACAGCTGGTGACATTGAAATTTGCCCAAGCACATATTTTTGGCCAGAGATTCAGCTAGGATTTGAAGATAAGGGTGTTTGTAAGGAGTCATAGCCTCTCTCAGCTCTTAGGGGAATATTCCGTGTTAGGTAGGTTCCCAAAACCCAGTCTGTCTTCGCGGTTCTTCCAGGTGCATTCTACAGCCTGGGGTTGTAGAGTTGCCCCAGTAGCTATCTCTCCTCATCTCTCCTCGTGTGGTGACTAACCGGGAAGACCTGGGGTGGCTGGCCACTCTCGTTTTTGTACTGCTGATGTGAATTGCCGATAACTTTACAAAACTAAAGAGTGAGAAAACCCAGAGTCAGATTCCTAGGACAGATAATTTAGGGGGAACCCCACTTGTTGTTCTGGTGCTAAGGCCACTGGGGTCTGTCTGTAGTTTCAACCCTGTGCTCAAGGGGACCAAGACTGTCTGTTCCAGGGAGCCCTGAAACCAGGGCTCGTGGAAAAAGGGCCCAGCCAAGGCCTTCAGAGAGACTGTGATAGCAGTGGGGGGCTTCGAATTTAAATTTATATTCCGTGCTTTAGGCAGTCAGAGACGCTGGTAAGGGCTTTTGTCATTTTACCTCCTGCATGGCGTTCCTGGCAGAGTCTTTTGTTAGGAGGACACAAGGGTTGAAGCTTTTTCCATTTTTATTAAAAAGTTTTCAAAAAATAAGTACAGTCATGCACCCCCTGATGATGTTTCTGTCAGCGACAGACCACATGTATGATAAAGGCCCCATAAGATATAATGGAACTATACAATTTCTATCACCTGGTGATCCATTGTAACATTGTAGCACATCCTAGTGATCCACTGGAGCACCGCGCATTCCTAGCGCATTCGTGGTGACATGACGCTGGTGTAAACACACCTGCTGAGCCGCCACTCAGAAGCAGAGACAAACAATTACGTACAGTACACAGTGCTTGGTAATGATAATAGGTAACCTTGTTACTGGTTAATGTATTTACTATACTGTACTTTTTATTGTCATTTTAGAGTGGACGCTTTCTACTTATTATTTAAAAGTTTTCTGTAAAACAGTAGCCGCGTTAGCCCAGCCTCGGCCTCATCCGTCTCGTGTTCACTGCGTCTCTTGATTGCATTGTTTTCTCTCCTGCTTGATTTAATTACATGTGGTTTTGCGTATAGGAGCATAGGCTAGACCATACGGGTTTATACGTGCACTCTGTGGTGCTCACACGACGACAAAATCACCCAATGTCGCCTTTCTCAGAATGTATCCCCGTCGTTAAGTGGCACTGACTATATAATATACCTATTACTTGAGCACAGATATTTTTCCTAAGCTTTACACAGGCATATATAATTTTTACATGATAATAATTTGTGTTTATACAATTCTGTATATTTTCTAAAGTCAAACAGTAAATAGGAATGGACGTTCTTTGTGGGTCATAAACTTGAAAGTGCCCCCCACCCCCCCGATTTGATTCACTTGGGTAGCTGCTGTGAAAACTTAAAACAAGGCCTGTTTCCCACGAGGCTGCCTAAGGGAGAGGTTTGTGCACCCCCAGGTTTACAGCTCTGTAGACAGTTCAGAAATTCACATAGGATTTCTGGATTTCTGAGCTATTTTCAGGAAGGTGCTGTGTGTGTCTTGGCAGATACGTGCCCTGGAACTTCCATGAGCCCCAGCCAGGACAGTACCAGTTCTCCGAGGAGCGTGATGTGGAGCATTTCATTCAGCTGGCACATGAGCTGGGGCTGCTAGTGATCCTGAGGCCTGGACCCTACATCTGTGCGGAGTGGGAGATGGTGAGTGTGGCTCGACTGGGCTCTGCCTGCCCGCTGTGTATGACCTGGGTGGGCTGGCAGATGGGGCTCTGGGGGAAAGGGAGTTAAAGCAGTTTAAATAAGTCTCTAATTCCAGATAACATGGAGCCTGTGACTGTAGCCAGGTGTCTTTTCCCTTAGGAGGTGCCTAGAAAGAGAGGAACAGGTAAGGGTCAGAGGTGTAGACCCTCCTCTTGGTGGTCACTCACGTAACTCAATTGCCTCACCTGTAAAAAGCAGGTAATGGTGTGGGCTCTGTCTACCTCACAGGCTAGCTGTGAAATTAAGTGGAATTACTCTATAGAAAAGGCTTTGATTCTCAAAGCATTGCATTCGTCAAGAGTGATCTTACTTTTACCATGTTTACAATTTCTGATTGTCCTGAATGTTTCCAAGTCAGAGCCCAGCTCGAATACCCCTTCCCCATNTGTTTCCAAGTCAGAGCCCAGCTCAAATACCCCTTCCCCATGGAACCTTCCTTCCCTCACTGCGAGTAGTAATTTCTGTCTCCCCGGTGCACCTTTCACGAAATGGACCTTATGACGGCTTGCTCTTTTCNGTAATTTCTGTCTCCCCGGTGCGCCTTTCACGAAATGGACCGTATGACGGCTTGCTCTTTAATTTCCTCTCCTAGGGAGGATTACCTGCCTGGCTGCTAGAGAAGGAAAATATTGTTCTTCGTTCTTCTGATCCAGGCAAGTTGTTACAGATGTCTTGAGAGAATTTATGAAAGCTCAGACAGCTTTATATCAAGAGAATCAGGTATTTTGAAGACCGGAGTGCTTCTGTGCAAACACTTCTGAAAGTTTAGCGAAAGCGGTCACCAGTGCCCACTGCAGAACACCAGGCACTGCGTGTGCAGGAAATACGCTGTCTTGAACTTGACCAGCTCTCGCTGACATACTGATAACTCTTTGCATTGGCTGTGGCCCCTGTTTGTGGTCGACCAGCTGACTTGAATCCTTTCTGCTCCTCCGCTCTGAGAAGACTGCAGGCCCCGGGTAGCATCTAGCCCATCCGCCTGGCAGGCGGAGTTTCTGGAGCGGGGTCGCTGGGCTGCTCAGTAGCTGCGATGCTTTCTATTCCTTGAGCTACGTTTGCAGAGTGATATGTAGACGACAGGTCCTTTTTCTTGTCTTTTTAAACCACGAGAAATTAGTTCAGCGGTAAACCCCGACTCGCTGCATTTCTGTCTCCTGGAGACTTCGGTTTCTAGTGGCGGTGGCGGTGGTGGAGGTGGTCAGAGGGGCAGCCAACATCGACTGAGTTTCCTGTGTAAAGGGCTAGCGCGTCACGCTCTATGTACCTTTTCTTCTTAGCATATCCCCTCACATTTTGTACTTTTCGTGTATAACTAGTGTCTTCACATGTATTATCTCATTTAACCCATACAGTAATTTTACCAAGTACGCATTCCATTATCCCCATCAGACAATGTAAATACATAATTTATTGGAGCTTATTTGTAAAAAGGAAACAACCGTACTGTGACGGAGAGGAAGACACACCGTTCAATCACTCTTTGCTTCATTTAACACACGCTGGCCGAATGCCTCCGNAGACACACCGTTCAATCACTCTTTGCTTCATTTAACACACGCTGGCAGGATGCCTCCAGTGTGTCCTAGCGGCAGGGACAGACACCAGGCGTGGTCCTTGTGTGGGGGGAGAGCTCAGCTGAGGGGACGGCTCCTTGCAGGACAACTTGTATCTGACTCTTAGTGCACGTAGCTGCCACGTTTCAGAAGGTAGTCGTTGGATCCAGTATATCCTGATCTCTGCTGGCGGCCCCAGGGTATTAAGGCTGTGTTGTGTCTATTGGTACTAAAAGGTGTGTGACGGTGCTAACCCTGCCTTGTTTTCCAGATTACCTTGCAGCTGTGGACAAGTGGTTGGGAGTCATTCTGCCCAAGATGAAGCCTCTCCTGTATCAGAATGGAGGGCCGATTATCACTGTGCAGGTAACCATGGAGATGAGCATGGGCTGGTGGTGGGCAAGGCTTCCATCCAGTCACGGCGTATATAGGAGGAACGCAGACCTGAGCTTCCTAAGGCTGTTTCTCTAAGAGGCGATACCACGATGGCGCTTTCATTTAAATTGCATTTTGGGGAGGTATTCCCATTTTTTTAAAATATGTTTTTATTGATTGCAGAGAGAGGAAGGGAGAGGGAGAGATAGAAACATCAGTGATGAGAGAGTCATTGATCCGCTGCCTCCTGCAGGCCCCCTGCTGGGGATGGAGCCTGCAACCCGGGCATGGGCCCTGACCGGGAATCGAGCCTTGATGATCTCCTAGATCGTAGGTGGATGCTCAGCGGCTGAGCCATGCTGGCCAGGCAGGTATTCCCATTTTTGAATGCCTGCCATGTACCAGACTCTGCCCTGGATGCCTTGCCAATGCTATTCAATTATTCAAACCACTTTCTCTTTTAAATGAAGAATTTCAAAGAGATTAAGTGACTTGGCCAAGGTCACCGAGCTGGCAGGTGTTAGAATCAGCATAGTCCCCTAGGTCCGCTGATCCCGTAGCCTGCCTCTTTCTCTCGTCCCATATTGCTTTCTGGCTGCAAGGATGTGGCATGGACCCAACCGCTTTGTGTCTGCCCTGCTTGGGTGGTCAGTCACACTGGCTTAAAAAGATTGGAACCATTATGTTTCCTCTCCTGCAAAGACTGGTATTTTGTGGGGTATATCATGTGGCAAATATTTTCCACGTGAAAAATCAGGACACTTGACCTGCAAGGATTTTAGATGTTTGTGAACTTGCTTAAAACGTCAAACCGTGTTCATTGGTCATATTGAAAAGAATAGTTATGCTCTTTATAAAAAGAATAGTTATGTCAGATTGCAGGGGCGAGTGAGGTGGGTGGAGGCGAAGTAGGTATAGGGAAGATATTTGGTGATGGGGGGAAAAAGAAAGTAAATAAAAAGAAACGGACAGTTATGTCAAAGTAGCTGGGCCTGAAACAGCACCCAGGCGCAGTGTGGCGCTTGCTTGGGCAGCATGGGCCAGATTTCCTTCTGAACTGTGGCCAGTTTGCAGGGATGGCCGTTGTTGGGGGAGCATGGCCATTCCCTCGCCCTTCAGGTGGAGGCTGAACGAGCAGTGAGAGGTCTGAGCTGGCCAGAGTGTCCACTCTGATGCCCAGTGGACAGAGGCCAGGCTGCTGCCCTCCATCCACCCTGAGTCTGTGCTGGCTGAGCCTTTAGGAGCCCATTTTCCTGGATGAAGATTTTTGTCTGAAAGTCGGGTGTATCTTTGCTCGGCTGGGTCGTCTTCCTTTCTAATCGATCTCAGGTTTACTTTAGTTTCCCTCGTTTTCGGGGCAAGTCCCTGCTTCTCCCTAAATCGCTTTCAATTTCTGCTCACAACTTTTCTGTACCTTTTGGTTATTGAGATGTCATGAAAGATGTAATCAAATGTGAACTCTGCAGAGGGGAGTGAAGCTGACTGGCTTGGGTGCTTTTCTTAAGGTCCATCTCTGGCAACCTCAGGTGACTTGAACTCGAATGTGGGTCCTACCAGGGGACTCGGCTTCCTTCCCCTCCTCTCCCTCTCACATCTCCACCTGCTTGAATCACACCTAATCCGTTTCCTCCCTCTATCACTGAATGAACAAGTACATTATGTTGGGCAACACAGGAAAACATAAGAAAGCAACCCCCCATAATTGTCACTTAAACATCAGGAGCCAGAAGCAAAGCCCTTTACATTTTGGGGGAGATTTCCTTAAATTTTTTTTCCAATACCTTTAAAATTTTCTTTTTATAGTCAGTTCATACTGTGTGGACAGTTTCCTATCTGACTTTTTTTACTTCATTGTTATTTCATAAGCATTATTTCATATCATGAAAAATTCTTTCCACATCAGATTCATGGCTGCCCTCTTGTCCTCTGAGAGTCCCCATAGGGGCCCCTCTGTTCGAAAGCCGTCCTTCCCAGTTGACTTCATCGGTGTCCACTTGGCTCTTAGGAGCCTTGGTGAGCGCCTCCGTTTGTGAAGCATTTGAGGAAGTTTATCAACTTTCGTCCCTGCCCAGGTGTATCTCTGGTCTCTTCGGCTCCCCACACCTCTTCCTGGCAGCCAGGAGGTCACATCCCACCTGTGCACACGTCGCCCGCCTACGGAGTGGTTCTGGTATTGAGTAGAGGCGGCTGGGTTAGATAAGAAAGAGCCTGGCATCGGTAGCCAGTGTTTCACTGTGGAAGTTTCTCTGAAAGCTGATTTCTATCTCTGTCCTAATTCAGGCCAAGGGGGCGTAGGGATGAGCTGACTCAGTTCACGATGCTGGTGCTTTCTCTGGGTGCCCGGAGAGTTTGAAAAGGCCGCCAAGGAGCTGCGTCTGTAGGCAGGGCAGACATGATTCATACCAGAAGGCTCAGAAGGTTTAGGAAGCCCAAACTGGACCTTGATTCATCCTTATGATTCAGCCATAGACGTAAATACCCTCCTCGGAGGAATTAGCTAAACCAGCGTCATCTGAACAGGTTTGCCCACGGGGACGTTTATCTCAGTTCATACCAAGACCACACCCAGAATAAGGAAAGCCACGAACACCTGTTAATAATATCCCAGGTGACAATTATTAGGAGTAGGACCTTCCACCTACAGCTTCGATTCATCCAGTGTATGGAATATTCATCATGAGGTAACAGCCCTGCTTCTACCTGTTGCTGTGGAAGATCAACTGCTTTAAAAGTCCACAGGGCTTTGTTGCTTCACTAAGCAGCTTGCAGGATGAGATAGTTACTCTCGAACCAGGGCCAGACGATGGCCCATGAGCCAACTGGCCCGCTGCCTGTTTTTGAAAATAAAGGCCCATTGGAACACAGCCACGCCCATTCACTCATTGATTGCCTATGGCTGCTAATGCAGTACACTAACAGTTGAGTATTTTCTATAATAGTGTAGAACATCAGCGTGGCTGGCGAGGCTGAGCAGTTGAGCACTGACCTAGGATCCAGGAGGTCATGGTTCGATTCCCGGTCAGGGCACATGCCTGAGTTGCCGGCTCGGTCCCCAGTCGGGGGCGTGCAGGAGGCAGCCGATCAGTGACCCTCTCTCACCATTGATGTTTCTCTCTCTCTCCCTCCCTCTTCCTTCCTCTCTCTGAAATTAATAAAGACACATTTTTTTAAAAAAACAGTGTAGAACATCACTATAATCCGAAAACTAGCATGGTGATTTCTGTTTTCTTTTTCTTATTTCTAAGCAGGGAGGTAAATTTTTATACTGAGTTGCCTTTTTGGAAAATGAATTTTGAGGACTTAGAGTAGGGGATATTTTTGGCATTCAAATAACTACAATGGAATCTCAGGTTTTTCGCCCACCCTCCTCTTTTTATAATTTGCAGGTTGAAAATGAATATGGCAGCTACTTTGCCTGCGACTATGACTACCTGCGTTTCCTGCAGAAGCGTTTCCACTACTACCTGGGTAACGACGTGGTTCTGTTCACCACCGATGGCGAAGCGGAGAAACTTATGGATTGCGGGGCGCTGCAGGGGCTGTATGCCACCGTGGACTTTGGACCAGGTTGGTTTGTAGGAACAGGAAACACAGCGAAGGCCGTGCATGCGGGCTTGGGCTTTTGACTCAGCCGATAGCTCTGGGCAGCTGCTGTGCTAAGTGGCATGGGCCTATTGAATGAGATTCCTCGCATTTTTCTTTATTGAGTTGCTGAGATTACGTTTTTTCAGCTGATTTGGTCTTTAGGACAGTGGCTCTGTTTTCAGTGCTGGCAGACATAGCCTGGAACCTGGAGCACTATTCTCTCCAGCAGCTATTCCAGCTGTGAGAAGCTCTACCCCGAGGCAGTCACCTTTCAGGCTCTGGCTGGGACACACTGCTCTTCTCTGTTCTCTATGTTCTCCCCACCCCCCATTCGTGGCTGAATGCTTGGGGCTCTATTGTGGCCATAGTGAGCTCTGAGGTCAGCCAGTGGCTGGGGGGGGTGGGGTTGGCTTGTCGGCCCTGGAATGCAGGAATTTACCTTACACTCTCATTACCTTTCTGCATAACTCCTCACACTGTGAACGGTCATGGGCCGGAGGTGGTTTGGTAGATGCTACAGAACTCGACTTGCCCGACTCGTGAGTGCCCTGTAAGCTGCAGAGGTTCCACAAATGAAAATCCGGGGTTGGTGGGGAGGACAACAGACTAGAATGTTTCTGGATATAATAAACTTCTGGCAGGAACGGAGAGAGTCTTTGTTTAGGTTGAGAGCAGCTTTTATAACGGACATGACAGCTAAATGTGACATCCAAGGCCCATGCACGTTGCACGTTCAACACTTAGGTTCTCCCGAGAAGGAGGTAATTGCATTTTTAAAGAGCTTCTTCTACATTATCAAAAAAGAAGAATGGGCTTTAAGTGAACTGAGTGTTTCTAGAAACATGCTACACTGCTCGGGGCTCTTCGTGATGAGATAACTCATCTACGGAGAGCTGCACAGGAAGTGGCCTGCTGGTTTCCTCCCGCTCTGTCACACCTCCCAACACGGTGATGAAAAAAGCACAGTGTTTTCTGTTGGGAGGGACAAATGGAAGATTATCACGAGTGTGTTGTAAGCGTTATTTGTAGGTGGGATCTCAGCACGTTTGCTACCTGTGGGATGACAGACCACTGCAAGGCCGGTGTGCCTGGGGCAGGTGGGTGGTGGCAGCTTCATTCATGTGGGAGTGGGGGCATTGCCTGAGGGTCATATCACGGAAGGAGGCTCATGAGAAGAGAAACTAAAGGTCTGAATGCCACCTAATGCTTACTAGTGAGAAATTTACAGTCATAAGGTAAATGAGATTATACTCTTTCTTGATCAGCACCTTCTCTCCTGAAACCTGGCCTTACAGAGGAGCCAAGGCCCATCCAAGAGCAAGGGGCAATGTGGAGGTCTTGGCTGGTGCCCCTTCCACTCCAGGACACCTGCTGTGGGAACTGGAGCATGAAGTTTGGGAGCAGGGTGTCCTCTGCTCTTGTTGGAGAGACATTATCCATGCTCATTCGTTCACTGATGTAAGGTAGCCATGACCTCTCTGTGGAGAAAGTCTCTTTTTTAGAGGAGAAGAGAAGGCAAGGGAAGACAAGACACAGGCATCCTAAGGAATATTTCAGAAGGACAAATGGAGAGCAAGTAGCTGATAATGTACCAATTAAAATTCAGAGGAGACTCCATTATTTAGGGATAGACACAGTTAGAGCACAGTCATCTCTTCGATTCGTTAATTAATTGGCAAATGTTTGTGGCACTATTATTGTGTGTGGCACTGGAGGCTACAAGGAAGTATCTTCAGAGCAGGCCCATCCCGTAGGGAGCATCTGGGTCAACCAGATGTCCGTGTGAAGAGACTCGCACAAGACATGTCCAGGCTGTGAGGAGACACAGGTGGAGAAGACAAGCCTGTGAGGTGAACTCCTGAGGTGATGGAGTCAGGAAAGACCATGGAGGCCTGTTCATAGAGGAAGCAACGCTTTGTGGTCCCCACACATCCGTGGGTATGAGTGCAGCCTGGAGCTATCTTGGAGGTGTTCCAGGCCCACGGGAGCATGGGGAAGTGCTGGGACCTCAGGTTCAAGTCTTGCAAAGGGCTCTTTTTATTTAATGTCTTGCAATTCCCACAACTGATCTTTCTTCTCCCTCTGGTCATGCTCAGGTGCCAACATCACAAATGCTTTCCTAATCCAGAGGAAATATGAACCCAGAGGACCCTTGGTAAGAACCCGGTGTAAGTGTGGGGAGACTGCTTGTACGAACTTCATTACAGTTGTTGGGAGAGAGGTTACATGCTGTAGGTGGGTGGGAGCAAATCCATGGCTTTTCTGACTCTGGGATTGTGGGGACATAGCCCTCTGGACGCGAGTGACAGCAGCAGCAATGCTCCTGCTTGAAACAGAGGCCCTGCCCTGGAGTGGGACAGAATGGGAACTAACGTGAATGTTCTGCCATGCACCAGGCTCATGTTCTTGCCTACTTCATCTCATTTGATCCTCATGGTAACTCTCATAAGTAGTATTACTGTCCCATTTTCAGTAAGGCTCAGAGGACATGTCACTTGCCCAGGGTTGGACAGCTGGAGAGTTGCAGGGCCAGGATCTGAGTTCAGGTCTGTGTTTCCATCTTTAACGTGCTTATGCATCACATAGGAATCTTGTCAAGATGCAAACTTTGACCTAGTGGGGCTGGGGTAGGGCCAGAGATTCTGCATTTCTGACAGGCAACCAGGTGGCATTGGGATGCCGGTGTATATACTCCATCAGCCCAGCACTCTGCTCTTTCCTTCTCCACACTATTTATTGGGACTTGGCCAAGTTTAAGGGCTTATGTCCTGTGCCTTCTCTGCAGCAGGTCAGGCTGCTCCGCCTGCATACAGACCTTTGTACAAACAACCTTTTCTGAATCTGGCCTCTGCTTCGTGAGCAGTGCCGAACCTGTACTCAAAGACTTTGGATGGAGCTATTTCCTGAGATGAGGAGACCCCAGAACATCTCCAGATTTCTTTTTCATTCTCTAGACCAAGGGCTTGGCAGGGTAATGCCCAAGAGAAACATGATGGGCTTGGGGCCTGCTTTGCAGAATTCTTGCGCAAATTGACCTCACGCTAAGTCAACTTGAGATCTAAAAACCAAAGAGTCAATTTGGAATTGATTTTATTATAACAATATTTTGCCACCTGATCCTTTGCCCAACAAACTTTCCTACTATATTTAAATTGGAGATTGGTTAAAAAAAAATTGATGCAGGTATAACTTTTTAAGAATACCATATTGTCAGTTCCTGAGACTGAGTCTGAGCAGTGGTGTTACCAGAAGTCCTCATTGGCCCCCCAGCTTGGGGTTAAGCAGCCTATGTCAACTCTCCTTTCCACCTGTCCCTCGTTGGGGAACCTAGGGCGATAGTCAAAGGGCGATAGCCCCAGCACTTCAAAGTCATAGCTAACTCTTTCCTAAGCCCCACGTCTCTTTCTCTTTTTAGATCAATTCTGAATTCTATACCGGCTGGTTAGACCATTGGGGCCAACCTCATTCAACAGTGAAGACTGAAGCGGTAGTGTCCTCCCTCCAGGATATACTTGCCCAAGGGGCGAATGTGAACTTGTGAGTGTTAATTCCTGGAGGGGAGGCATCCCTCCACATCTGTGGCTCCCCATGAAGTACTGTCTGTTCTCTTGTTTTCTTGTAGGTACATGTTTATAGGTGGGACCAATTTTGCCTATTGGAATGGTAAGAACAATTTGACATCTGTTTGTAGACGCTTATGCTAAAATCTTTCTGGTGCTTGATTTGGGGGGGGCCTATAGACAATTTTTATTTTTTATTTTTGTTTGTCTTCTATATTTTCTAATATATAAGAATTGCCTATATAATTTAAGAAATTATTTTTCTTTTTAAAAAAATTTAAGGGTCATAAATTGTGTGTTTAGGAACCTTATTGTTTTAAACCAGGCTGGCTAGGCAGGCCTCACATAGTCTCTGGCTATAGCTCACTTGTGCATTTATGTTCTGCTATGGTCTTTTTTCTTTTTTCTTTTTTCTTTTGTTAACATTTTGTTTTGTGGAAGTATAATTCACATACCATAAAATACATGATTTTAAAGTGTACAATTCAGTGGTATTTAGTGTATCACAAAGTTGTGCAACCATTACTACCATCTAATTCCAGAACACTTTTATCACTTCACAAAGAAACCCATACCCAAGAAATTCCCCACTCTCCCTCCTCCCAGCTCCTGGCAACCACTGGTTTACTCTCTATATATGGTTTTGTTTATTCTGGGCATTTCATATAAGTAGAATCATACAATATATACTCTTTTGTGTTTGACTTCTTTCATTTACCATAATCTTTTCAAGGTTCATCCCTATGATAGCACGTTTCAGTACTTCATTCTTTTTTACTGCTGCGTAATACTCCATTGTATGGATGTACAACATGTTGTTTATTCACTCATCAACTGATGGATATTTGGGTTGTTTCCACTTTTTGGCTATTCTGAACAGTGTATGAATATTAATGTGTGAGTATTTGTTTGAATCCATTTTGGGTTTTTTGGGTGTATACCTAGGAGCGGAATTGCCGGGTCACATTGTCACTCTATATTGAGTTACAATAGTGTTTTCCAAGTGGCTGAACCATTTTACATTTCTACATGTTCCTTTTTCTTTGTAGGAAAATTATGACAAAATTCTCTTCATTGCCATTAATTTTTTACAAAGACATACCATGCTCTGCTGGCCTTTCTCTAAGCCTCATTTCCCACCTCTCCATATAGCTGTATTTTTCTCTCTGAAACGTAAAGGATGCCCTGCTGTTGAGTTTGGAAGGGTTAGTTTGGACCTAAATCTCCTAAGATCTCTGATTGTATACTCTGCTCTTAACGAACTTTCTTCTTAGAATTGCTGTCTTTTGTGCAGGGTGGGGCAGGCTAGGAGAAGGCTTAGCTTCCAAGTATTATTAATGTTATTACTATTGTTAGAGCCAAGAAATGGAGATACAGCAAAACTCAAATGTCAATGGTTGAAAGATAATAATGTCCAAGGTTAGTAATTGAAGTTTTAGACCATCTTTGTGTGTCTCTATCTTCTCGTTAGAAACAATTAAGACTTTGGGATGCCTTTTTCATTCAATAGCTAGGCATTCCACCCAGCTTTTATTCATGGAATTCAGACCAATCATCCAATCCAGGAATAAAGACTGACATATGTGGGAATTTTGCTATTCATGATAGAATTTTTAAATATCGAACTGTTCTACTTAAAACAATACAGGTGTGTTTTTTAAATTAGATAATATGGAAACTACTTCTCCCTTGCTCCTTACCCTGCCATAATTAATAAGAGCCTCTTTTCCACCTGTTTTCTAATTTAATCCTCATAGCCATGTCATCTAGGCTACGATTATCAACCCACTTTACAGATAAGAAAAGCAGGGTACGAAACAAGTCCACCTGTTTCCCACTCAGCTTGCAGGGGGTAGATCCTGGATTCAAACTCAGGTCTTGGAAAGCTAGTCACTGCCCTTGGAATAACCCCTTGCAGCCTGAAGCCCCTGCGCCAGCCCCCAAACCAGCCCTACTTGTGAATGCCAGGCCTCTCTGATCTGCCGTGTGGCCTGTCTCTTTGAGGACGTGAGGAAGAGCCAGTCTGCTCCTCAGCGGCTGTCCTTCAGGCCAGCTTCCGAGAGGAGAGCTGTGAGAAAATACATCAAGTATGTGTACCACACTCTGTGCCCTTGCGTGTCCCCATCTGTGTGAGGGGCTCCTGTGGGCTCCAGGCTGTCCTATAACGTCTCAGGCCACATGGAGACCTGAAGACTGGCAACTCTTGCTGTTCCTTTGCCTTCCCACCTCACACTCCCTGACATGGAGAAGAGGCTTGAGTTAGCACCGTTTCTCTATGACCCACTGGTGGTCTGGAAACATCTGGAGAAAGATTCCGCCGGTAGAAATAGAGAAAGCCTTCCTTTGCCAGTCCATCCTTTAACCCACTGGCCAGCTTCCCAGCCTGGGCCCCCTGGGCCTGTAAAGCTTCTTCCAGAAGGCACACTTGTTCAACCCAGCTCGACAGGCAGCTGATAGGGCTCCTCCTCCGACCTGGCTGGGGCCGGGGGAGATGCGGGGGCCGCTCGGGTCAATGAGGCCACACCTGCTTCAAGGGTGCACGCGTTGTCTGCTGTGCAGCGAGAGCTATACGCAAGAAACACGGGCAGCCCAGCCACTGTCACTTTAGAACTAGAGAAGGGACCACAGGGGAGAAGGTGAGCTCCTTGCGAAAAGGGATGTGGTTTTTCTTTTTCATTGCTTCTCACGGCAAAGGATGTGTTTTGTCGTTTGTATCCCCAGAGGTGGGCAGACCCGTTGGCAGGCAGCTGTCTCTGGTTCATGAGAAATGAGGGGAAAGTAATATGGGATCGATTCAGCTGGTTTAGGTATTTGCAAATGCAGATTCTGTGCAGAGAGCTAACGAAGACCTTTTGGCCTGGCTTGTGTCAACTCTACCACAGTAGGATCACCCAGGGTGGATCCGTCATTTGTGAGCTGTGGGACCATTTGAAGGAATTTGTTACTAAATCATACGTGAACTCTCAGATTTGGGGCCTCATTTACTTAATGCTTAGGTTGGATATAAGATTATTCTAAAATAAGTTTATTCTCACACACTTCCATTGCAAAATGCTCTCTGGAGTAGAAAAGGGAGGCACAGACCCTGGCTGGCCCACAGAGGGCAGCAGCATCCCTGTCACCTGGGAGCCTGTCAGAAATGCCCAGTCTCGGGTCCCACCGCGGACCTTCCGAATCAGAACCTCAGGCTGGGTTTAGAAATCTGTTTTAACAAGCTCTCCGTGTGACTCTCATGCTTGGGTGAATTCTCTGAGCACTGGCATGTGGTCATGGCCCAATGTTACACAGTCTCCTACGTGTGGACATCGTGTGTGACAAGGTTGGGGGCCTCTGTTCTAGACTCTGCCCCCTCAGCAATAATTACAAGACCCTTTGCTTCTCTAGTCTTTGTGCATGCACAGCATTATTTACTGCTCTCTTGTGGGTTATGTTTCCAGGGAAACAGACTCCGAGATTACCCAGCAGAAATTTGATTGGGTTGCGCTTTCAGAAGCACGCAGACACCTAGGAGAGAGTGTAGGAGGCAGGACTGAGCAGAGGGCAATGCTAGGCTGTGATGCGGTTTCACAGGTGGCTCCGCCAATTCTAGGGGGAGCTCTGGATGGAGCTGGGATGGCCCTCTGAGGCAAAGGGACTGAGCTTTTATATCCCCACGTCGGCTGATTGTTGGATATGGGCTATCCTGGGAGGGTTGTAACTGTAAGCAAGGCAGCCCAGCAGAGGCCAATGACCAGAGAGGGACATATCTGAGAGCCAGCAGCAACCAACACTCCCAGCAGCTGGGGGAACAAGTGAGTGCCTTAGTCCTGAAGGGGGATGGGAGAGGCACACCACAGCATCCTCTCTAGTCTTTGCAAAGGCCTTATGGTTACATTCAAATCTCTAAGGGTTCATCTGGGTGTAGCCATCGCCCACTTTGTTTGGTCTGATAACCTTCGGTTGTTTTCTACTGGTCCTTGGCCAAGTCACCTGAGTCTCCACCACACAGTTCGAGGTCATGAAAAAGATCGCAGGGTGAGCAGTCAGAGGTGCAGGTCATGCCATCAGTCCTGCAATGCCTGGTTGTGCTGAGCAAGTTTTGTAGAGCGTTCCAGGTTCTCTGCTTGTCCCTTGGCCCTGAGATCTGCTGGGGTCACAACTGTGAGCTCTGCTGAGAGTAGATGAGGAGAGTGCTCTGTAGACTCCAAGATGCTTGGCAGGAAGAAACTAATTTCTCTGCACCTCCCTTAACAATCTATTCAAATGTGTCCTTTATTTCCTCCCTCCGTACTGCTGAACCCATGAATCCCAAAGAACTTGTCCCAGGCAAGGGCCTCCAGTAGTAACTAGTGGCACGTTTTTTGTCTTCTAGGGGCCAACATGCCCTACCAAGCACAGCCCACCAGCTATGACTATGACGCCCCACTGACTGAGGCAGGGGACCTCACGGAGAAGTACTTTGCTGTGCGAGATGTTATTCGGAAGGTGGGTGCTTTGTACGGACTGCAGTGGGCTGGTCTTGGACAGAGCCTGCCTTGGACTCACTGTGCTCTGTAGATGACTTCCTAGAGCCTCTGGGTTTCAAAGGACACATGAAGGGAGGCATCAGGTAGACTTGGCCTTGAGGCTTGGCGGCGACCTGATGAAGAGTGATTCTGTGAACCAGTTAATCCACTAGCCTACTCATTGGTAAAACCGGACCATTAGCACCTGGTTGTGTTGTAAGGATGAAAAAGAACCTCGGTAAGGCTCCTGTGGTCCAGTAAGTAGTAGCCATTACTATTATTTATACTAAAGGTAAGAAAATGTGCCCTAGCTGGTTTCGCTCAGTGGTTAGAGTGCCAGCCTGCAGATTGTAGGGTCCTGGGTTCGATTCTGGTCAAGAGCAGATACCTTGGTTGCAGGCTTGATCCCCAATGCGGGTTGGGGAGCCAACCAATTGATGCATCCCTCTCGCATTGATGTTTCTCTCTCTCTCTCCCTTCCACTCTCTCTGAAAAGCAATGGAAAAAATATCCTCAGGTGAGGATTTAAAAAAAAAAGGTAAGAAAATGTGTGTCTATATAAGTAGCTAAAACGTGTAGGAGAGAAAAATCCGAGGGCAGTGGGGCAAGGTGCAGATGTGAGCTGTCAGCAATGCCTCCTCTTTCTATCTGGGGCAGTGCGTGCTCTGGCCTGCACCTGAACTGCTTAGTCCTGCTAATGCTGTGACCTTTTGAGGCATTTAAAGCACCCAGGTGGGGTTTCCTGTCTCTTCTGTGGGTTAAAAAAAACCACAGTTTTTCTGCTCAGTCACCTGAGTTTTGAAGTTAAAAAACAGGTTTTTCTGCCTATAAATGGTATGGACTTTGTTTGTTTGTTTCAGTATGCCACTGTCTCCATTTAAGCCTAAGTGTTAAAAATCTATATTACGAAATGCATTAAACATATCAAAAAATATGATCTGTTCTTATCTAAGAATTTGTGTATTTCATCTAAAATTGCAAATGTGTTGTTAAAAGTTGCTTGCCCGGCCAGCATGGCTCAGTGGTTGAGCGTCAACTTATGATCCAGGAGATTGCGGTTCATTCCTGGTCAGGGCACGTGCCCTGGTTGCAGGCGTGCAGGAGGCAGCCAATCAGTGACTTTCTCATCATTGATGTTTCTATCTCTCTCTCCCTCTCCCTTCCTCTCTCTGAAATCAATAAAGACATACTAAAATACTTTTTTAAAAATTTCCTCATGTCATTTTTTGTTGTGGATTTGATCACTGCAGAACTTGTAGTGATGACTCCCAAGCTCTCTGTCACATCTGTTCTCTTTCAGAGCTTTCTGTTCCTATCTTTAGTATTTCCTCCTTTTATTTGAAGCTTAGATGTTTAAGTCCAGTCTTTTTTCTAATATAAATACTCAAGGTTATACATTTCTTTCAAGTACTTCTTTAGCTCCATCTCATAAGTTTTAATATCTAATATATGTATTAGAGCCTGCTTCTAAACATGCTTAGATTTCTCTTTGAGCGTTGAAATGTGCAGAAGTGGGTTTTTCAGTTATTAAACATAAGTATTTGTCTAGTTTATTGGTTTCTGACATATTTGCATCTGTTTAGAGAATGTAGTCTGTATGATATCAATCCCTTAAAATTCTTTGAACCTAATCTTAGGTCCTGGCATATACAGGGTGGGGCAAAAGTAGGTTTACAGTTGTTTGTATAAAAAAATAATATAATAATTAATAAATAATAATACAAGAATAAACTGTTTCTCACACACACAGCTGTAAACCTAATTTTGCCCCACCCTGTACCAATGTGAACAAATATTCTATATTCTCTTTTTATATATATATAGTTTATTGATTTTTGGAGAGAGAGGAAGGGAGGGGGAGAGAGAGAAACACTAATCAGTTCCATGTGTTTTTGAAAAGAACATAGGTTTTATACCTATTGGATATAATCTATATACATGTTCATTAGATTAAGCTTATCAATGGGGCTATTGATATTTTTGTTATCTTTCCTAATTTTTTGTCAATTCTATTATTTATTGACTTGTGTATGTATTTTTCTTTATAGTCTTGTAGTCCTGTCATTTTTTGAGGTCACCTTATTAGGTATGCAAATTGAGAATTTAAGGATGCTAAAGAGCATCCTTATGTGTTAATCCTCTATCTCTAATAATGCTTTTTGCCCTAAAGTCTTTTTTGTAGGAGGTGAAGTCAGAGAGATAATGGGGAACTGACCCTGTAGGGCCTTACAGGCCATTCTGAGACTTTGGCTTTTACTCTGAATGAAATGGGAAGTCATAGAGCTGAGCAGAGCAGTTAAGGGTTACTCAGGTTGTAATGTTGAGACTAGACTCTGGGAGGCAGAGCAAGAGTAGAAAAGGAAAACCAATGAGAAGGTTTTGCAGCCATTTAGGTGAAGGGGATTGTGGCTGCGAAGGCAATGGGAACTGGATGTGTTCAGACTAGCTAATGGGTACCTCCCCACTCTAGTAGGTAAATAAATTCTCTTGGGGCGCTTCAAATCTTTGATTTCATATTTTACATTTAAATGTTGGTGTGGCCCCAGCCAGGTGGCCTGGTTGTTCAGATACACAAAAAAGGTTGTGGGTTCAATCCCCAGTTAGGGCACATACCTAGATTTTGGGTTTGATCCCCAGTTGGGACGGGTATGGGAGGCAACCAATCAATGTTTCTCTCTCACATTGATGTTTCTTTCTCTCTCCCCCGCTTCTCTCTCTCTAAAAACCAGTAAAAAACATATTCTCAGGTGAAGATTAGAATTATATTTTTTTAGAAAGGAAAATTGGCACATTTGGCAACTGACAATGCAGATGGAAAGAATGAGGGGTCGTTGATTTGTCCGGGTTACAACCTTCACTGGATAATGGGATGGGTGTCGGGGTCAGCAACTAAAAGGACTGCAGAGAAAGCACAGGCTGGGAATGGGGAGGGAGGCAAATTCAATCTGGGCTTGTTCAGCATAAGGTGCCTCTGGTGACATCCAGGTGCAAGTATCTCTCCAGCAGGCACCTCACTTAAGAGTGAGAAGCTCCAGAAAGAAGTCATTAGGACAGGCTCAGATTCTGGGGTCAGCAGTGGAAGTGTGTCCTTGTTTTCTAGATGGATAAAGGCAGAGGGAACAGCATGTGCAAAGCCAGGAGATAGAAACAGCACTGTCCCATTTAAGGCCAGAGGGTCACATACGAGAAGGGGAGAATGGAAAGATGAGGCTTGAGGGAAACAGGAGGCCAAGTCATAGGTGGCTTCCTGACCAGATGAGCCCTTTAGAGAAATCATTCTGGAAGACAGACTAGAAAAGCCAAGTCTGTAGGAAACAAAAAGACAAGGGCCACAAAGACACAGGTGATGCTTTAAAGAGTGACATTTGTGCCTAGCCAGTTTGCTCAGTGGTTAGAGTGTCGGCCCTGGGACTGAGGGGTTGAGGGGTTGATTCCAGTCAAGGGCATGTGCCTTGGTTGCAGGCTCCAAATCCAGCCCCAATCTTGGCATGAGCAGGAGGCAACCAATTGATGTGTCTCTCTCACATCAATGTTTCTCTCTCTGTGTCTCTCCTCCTTCCTTCCACTCTCTCTAAAAAAATCAGTGGAAAAAAATATCCTCCAGTAAGGATTAACAATAAATAAATAAATAAATACTGACATAAAACACTGTGTTTCTACCAGCACCATGGATTGCAAGAGACAGCTTGTGTCTACCCACTGAACTCTAATGTCATTAAAGCTAAAAACAAACAAAAAGTTAGCCAGTGCAGACTGGTCCTGAGTCACGTTTCAAACTTCATTAAGCTTTTGAAGAATTCACTACAGGATTCTTGCATCCCTAGTCCCCGACCCACCCAGCCCCGATAACCACCTCAAGGAAATCCCAAGATCAACTCCAGTTATCAAGGCCCTCAACTATAATGTGATTAATTTCTGCAGAATAACCCATCTCCAAAAAGCCAGCTGGATTCTTATCTTTGATGGAAAACTCTTAAAAAAGTGGGTCTTAAATTCATTCAAAAGCATACAAAAATAAACTCACCACTGCCCTTGTTAGGAATGGGTAGGGTAGAGGAAAGATGCTGCCCTACAGCCTTATGGTTCATCCTCGAGGTCAAAGTGTTAACCATATCTTGCTGAGTTTACCCACACCAAAGAGATTACCTTAGAAAATGCAAATGCAAATGTCATGAGCTTTGTCATGCCTTCAGGAGTTATATGCATGCAAAGGCTGCCTGGAGCTTTCACCACTGAGCCCAGGCTGGTACCACCTGGTGGGAAATTATCATCCCTGGGAGTCCATGTTAGTGAAAGATATTGTCCATCACCACCCAACTAATGCCAGAAATGGATTAAAGAAGAGATACAGTCCATTTTGTAAGTCTTTGGTGAATGAAAGAGGCAGGAAGAGCTGTAGAGAGGGGTATTTATAATCCCTTTATCTCTTTGGATGCAAGCAAATATTTTGAATACCACTTACCAAACCAGCTAACTGATCATCTGCAAAGTCTCAGAAGAAAAAGCCCAGTTTTAAAGTAGTATAGCTGATGTTTTGGAGGCAGGAGTAGGGAGGAGAGCTCAGGGAGGGATGTAAATAGCCTTGTCTTAAAAAAGTGTGGACACAAAGAATAATCTTAATTACTGGAACTAAGAAATAAAGGTATAGGATGTTATTTAAATCTGCAAAGTAACCACTAGAGGAACTGAAAATGGTGATATAACTGTGTTGGCAAAAAAGGGAGATATCTGGAATAGTACAGCTGAGCTAAATTCTCATGTATTGAAGAAACCAATGATAATTTTTTAAAATGGATCTAATAAGAAATGGCAGATAAGTGTATTATTTAGAGACCAAAAGAAGCAAAAATAGGTACAATTGAAGGAGTTTTGAATGGTTTCCTCTGAAGACTATAAGAAAACAGTGAGTCAGGAGACTGTTGCTTTTCCTTATACCAGTCTTTTATCTTCTTTTTTAAAAATTACTTTGAAAAAGGTAAAAAGAAAGAGAGGAAGGGAGGGAAGGAGGAAGGGTATGGATCCTGAAAGATCATAATGCAATCTGCTTGGAGATACCAGATGGACATAGACCTTTCTAAGACCTAGGACTTACACCCACATCTTCTGATGCTAATGTGTGTGTACACATATTTAATAGGGTTTTATTTTTATTTTATTTTTTAACTTTTTATTTAAAAATAGTTTCATAAAAAATTTTAAAACTTGCATAAAAGTTTCAAGAATAAAAATTGTACACCAAACACTTGTGTATTCCTTACCCAGACTCCCCCATGTCAGCATTTCGCTCCATTTCCTTCATCATTTGCCCCCTGCCCCCCACTTGTGTTTTTAAACCTTTGAAGGATTGCATCTATCACTACCCTTTACCCCTAAATACTTCAGTGTATGTTTCATAAGAGTAGGTAGGAATATGCCCCTATATAACCATGGCAATTTTAACATTGATACAAAACTTTAACTTACCAATAAGATTTAATCTACAAATAAGATTTGTCCTACCCCAGGCTCCCTTGTTCCTTTTCCCCCACTCCAGCTTTCTGCTGTCTACTTGTTTTTGCTCTGTTTTGAAGTCTTTGTTCTATAATTACTTGAATGATTCCTGGAGCTGAAAACACAGACAGACACACACTTAGAAGTAAAAAACTTAAACAGATCCTGTCTTGGAAGGAAGTCTTTTGTCCCTTTGCCTTTCGGAAACATCACTGGCATTGCTGTTTCCGCCTTTACCCTCCTTTGGAAAAACGAATTGTATAGATATGTTTCTGAGGGTTTAACAGCTGTCTTTCTTTTCTGTCTTTTTTTCACTCTGGTTTATAGTTTGAAAAAGTACCAGAAGGTTTTATCCCTCCATCTACGCCGAAGTTTGCGTATGGAAAAGTTGCGCTGAAAAAGGTAAGAAAGAAAAAACTAACAGAAACATTGAAAGTGCGGAAATGGAATTTAGAAGTCGTGAGTGAAAGTGTTATGCTGGGGAGTCGGCTTATTATTTTTCTGTGAATTTGTTTTCTGCGAGACTGGTTGGGAAGATGATGTTTCTGGGGAAGGGGACCTGGGAGGTGAGAGGCTGTGTGTGGTGTTGACTGGGTGAGCAAATGGGGCGTGGGCAGGAGCAGGGACACGTGCTAGATCATACCAGTGCGTTTGGTTCAATTATCGGTTGTCCAGAGCAGGCCCAGGAGCCTTTGTAGGAACAACATGCCACCTGTCGTTATAGCTGATGAGATTCTATTTTATAATCCACCTTTATTTTAGGGGGTTCTCCAAAGCCACGGGCATTTTGATAGGTCTTTGCCCTAAATTAGACATTCCCATCTCAAAATCATGTCCTCATTTTTACCGTCTGCAGTGGTGTTGTTTTTTGGTAAATGAGAGATGAGATAGAAAAGCTAGAAATCAGTCATAAATAAGAGGTAAGGACATTTCATTCCAGAAAAAGAAAAGAGGTTACATTTGATAGTCAGGAGTGACGCAAGCCAAAGCCAGTCTGTTTTGATCAACTCTGTCTTCAGGTTTTCCCCTTTTATAATCCCTAACTCCCACGTGTGTCAACTCACAAGGAAGAAGAAAACATGAACAATTGCATATTTCTTAAGAATCGTGATAGTCTAAAATAACATCATAAGTCTTTATCTTTAAGCAAAATGCTAAACATGATGGTACGATTTTTCCATTCACGAAGCCCTTTGATATTATGGTTGGTTGAGTTCTTGTAACTTTTTCCACCTGCTCTCAGATCTGTGTTATGTTCTACAAAGAACGTGGCCAGTCTCTCTGCCTGATAGGCATCTTTCTTTAGATTAATCAAACGTGAATCACACTTGGAAAGGGGGCATCTTCTACCCCTTCACTGTTATTGCTACTTAAGGAAAAGTTCGTTTGTTGGGTTTAGAGCTGTGAGGATTTTATTTTTATACAACAGAAAATGACTACAGATGTTTAGTACAACGTCGCTGAAACAAATCTAGCTCAGTACCAAAGGCACATTCTCTTTACTGTGCAAGAAAATTGTGTGCGCAGAAACGGCTTTTCCTTGTTAACTATAATACGGTTGAAGAAAGCAGTCGGCATCTAACTGAATTAAATTTATATGGAGCATAGTTACATAGGCTAAAACCTTTTACCGTGAGTTGAATTGTCCAAGTGGGAAAACGACCATGTGAGTAGCTGAATGAATAGAATTTGTACTTAAGATGTTTTTTCCTCGATGCTGCACTTCAGCAAGGTAACCATGGAAAGTGCATATAAAATTCCTAACCAGTATCACGTCATGGAAAGTCCTGGGTTTGGAGCCAAACCTAACTGCAATCGTGGCCCTGCCATTGCTCAAGTGAGCTACTCTGAGTCCCTGACTTGGGGACAGTAATGCCTGCCTCACTGGGTAGTTGTGAGGATTCCATAATGTGTGTGTGTGTGGAGCTCCGACTCTNTCTGAGTCCCTGACTTGGGGACAGTAATGCCTGCCTCACTGGGTAGTTGTGAGGATTCCATAATGTGTGTGTGTGGAGCTCCGACTCCCCTGGAGTTTGCTAGGCACCCGGTATTGGGTAGCTGTTGTGGTTGTTGCACCAGAAGAAGCATCCTGTGTTGCAAGAATACACAATCATTTGGGTTGAATGTGTGTATTTGTTGAGTGGCTCCTATGGACTGGGCACTGGGGGTGAGCACAGTGCAGACCCAGCCCTTACGGAGCTGACAGTCGGGCGAAGGGATACAACTGGCCAGTGCTATCGATGTGGAAGATGTGCTCCGGACAGACTTAGGGGGCGCAGTCACCGTTACTTGGTTTTCATTTATTTCAAGGGCCTTTTCTATACGGGAGGTTGTATTTGCAAGTAGGTATGTTTGAAACTCCTTTTTTAAGATTACCATCAGTTATTTTTCATTAAAAGTTAGAGAACTGCTAGAGTTGATGGAAGGTGACTAGGGAGTAGTATTGAAGGGAATTTGAGCCATTTAGGTTTATTTAGGGGTTTGGTCAAATCCGCTAATAACTTTGATAATTTGCAAACGATGTTCTGGACTCGGATGACCAGGGAGGGGTGACAGCGTGTGAATGCTGCTTTTGTTTCTTTTCAGTTACAGACAGTGGAGGAATCTCTGAACATTCTGTGTCCCACGGGGCCTATAAAAAGCCTTTATCCCCTGACATTTATCCAGGTGAAACAGGTAGGCCTTCAAAGGTAATGCTTTAGCTTTTTTCTACTTGCAAAAATGTGCTTTCTGCCCTGCCTTGCAGTGTTCTGTCCTGAGCACAGGGACGAAAATAGTGAGCAGATAAATCAGATCACAAGTAATCTAGCGGTGGATTTCCAGGCTCTCTTTAGCTTTAATGTTGCACATTAGCTGATCTTTCCTATATTTCCCCATTTCTTATTCTCGCACAAATAAGTTCAACCTGTTTCAACATAATTCTGTACCAGCTGTACATTGAGTGCACTTCTGATCTAATTAATCTTCATGACTAGGTACTAGTGGAAAAAATGCTATTTTAATACTCAGAAACGATAATTTCATTATTTAGTGTTATAACTAAATTAGAACACTGATTTAGTTATTAGTTAGCTCAAAGGCATGAGGACTGTGTTCTTACTCGATTAGGTTCTTAGAGATTCTCTTTCTGGCTTTTGAAGAAAACAGAAAACAGGCACATCATGTGTGTGTGTTTATTTGTCTGTGTGTGTGTATAATTTCCAGGCACTGCCCCATCTTTAAGAGCTTTTCCAACTTTTTATTTTGGAAAATTTCAACTGTAAAAGAGTTGCAAGAATAGTACAACCAACACCCATATAGCTTCCACCATGACTCACCAGTGTTAGCATTTGCTGCACTGGCTTTAGCTTGCTGTGTGTGTGTTTCATCAACTGCTCATTAGGTTTTTTGTTTTGTTTTGTTTTTTACCATTTGAGTTAGTTGTCACCATCATGATATGTCACCCCTAGGTATTATGGCATGTATCTTTTAAGAAGAAGGACATTATCCTACATGCCTACGATATAATGATTACACTTAAGAAATTTGACATCGGTGCGATCCAGTTATCTAATATACATTCCATAGTCAAGCATCCCTGGTTATTCCAATAATGTCCTTTATAGTCCAACAGCTTAACTGTTTTCAATCCAGTTTCCAATCCATGATCATGCATTATATTTAGTGACAATGCCTCTTCAGTCTTCTTTCATCTGAAGCTGTTCCTAAGTCTTTCTTTCTCTCGTAACATGAACATTTCTGAAGAGTTCAGACCAGTTGTTTGGTAGACGGCCCCTCACCGATTCGACTCAGTAAAACATTTTTGGCACAAACACGACAAAGGTGACATGTCCTCAGAGGACCCATGAGGTCTGCTTGTCCCCTTGTTGCCTTGTTAAGTTCGATCACTCGTGTCTGAACAGTAAGGTGATAGAACAACAGCGTATCTCAGCTTGGTGCGCTTTGCCTCCAGTTACTGTTCCTACACTTGCAACATTTCACAAGTTTTACAAGAATGTTTTACAAGTGACTATGTTTACACTTGTAGAATCTTACAAGAATGTTTTGATCCAACAACTCTGGTGTGTGATAAATAAAATGAATAATTAAGCTCCCCCACCCCCTACTTTTCCACTCACATTGGGTAGAGTTCTCTCTCTCACTCAAGCACGCACTGGCTGGATGTGCCTGTCGCCATCTATAAAACAGAAATGCCTTCTCCACCTGGCAGGGCGTGGAGCACGTCGGAGAAGACAGGAGCCTGGGCGTGAACTCCGGGTTAATGTACAGACACTGACAGTCTTTGTTCCTCCTCAGGCCCTCAGCTTTCTAATCTTTGCCCAAGGCGGTGCCCTCAGATTGGGTGGGGCTCCCTGAGCCCCAGCTGTTTCAGGTTTGGGGCAAGGCCACAGAATGTTGATTTCCAATGAAACCCGTGGAGGGCACGGCTGCAGGGAGTGGGGTGCGACCCCACCCCCACCCTCAGAGGCCTCANGTAATCTAGCGGTGGATTTCCAGGCTCTCTTTAGCTTTAATGTTGCACATTAGCTGATCTTTCCTATATTTCCCCATTTCTTATTCTCGCACAAATAAGTTCAACCTGTTTCAACATAATTCTGTACCAGCTGTACATTGAGTGCACTTCTGATCTAATTAATCTTCATGACTAGGTACTAGTGGAAAAAATGCTATTTTAATACTCAGAAACAACAATTTCATTATTTAGTGTTATAACTAAATTAGAACACTGATTTAGTTATTAGTTAGCTCAAAGGCATGAGGACTGTGTTCTTACTCGATTAGGTTCTTAGAGATTCTCTTTCTGGCTTTTGAAGAAAACAGAAAACAGGCACATCATGTGTGTGTGTTTATTTGTCTGTGTGTGTGTATAATTTCCAGGCACTGCCCCATCTTTAAGAGCTTTTCCAACTTTTTATTTTGGAAAATTTCAACTGTAAAAGAGTTGCAAGAATAGTACAACCAACACCCATATAGCTTCCACCATGACTCACCAGTGTTAGCATTTGCTGCACTGGCTTTAGCTTGCTGTGTGTGTGTTTCATCAACTGCTCATTAGGTTTTTTGTTTTGTTTTGTTTTTTACCATTTGAGTTAGTTGTCACCATCATGATATGTCACCCCTAGGTATTATGGCATGTATCTTTTAAGAAGAAGGACATTATCCTACATGCCTACGATATAATGATTACACTTAAGAAATTTGACATCGGTGCGATCCAGTTATCTAATATACATTCCATAGTCAAGCATCCCTGGTTATTCCAATAATGTCCTTTATAGTCCAATAGCTTAACTGTTTTCAATCCAGTTTCCAATCCATGATCATGCATTATATTTAGTGACAATGCCTCTTCAGTCTTCTTTCATCTGAAGCTGTTCCTAAGTCTTTCTTTCTCTCGTAACATGAACATTTCTGAAGAGTTCAGACCAGTTGTTTGGTAGACGGCCCCTCACCGATTCGACTCAGTAAAACATTTTTGGCACAAACACGACAAAGGTGACATGTCCTCAGAGGACCCATGAGGTCTGCTTGTCCCCTTGTTGCCTTGTTAAGTTCGATCACTCGTGTCTGAACAGTAAGGTGATAGAACAACAGCGTATCTCAGCTTGGTGCGCTTTGCCTCCAGTTACTGTTCCTACACTTGCAACATTTCACAAGTTTTACAAGAATGTTTTACAAGTGACTATGTTTACACTTGTAGAATCTTACAAGAATGTTTTGATCCAACAACTCTGGTGTGTGATAAATAAAATGAATAATTAAGCTCCCCCACCCCCTACTTTTCCACTCACATTGGGTAGAGTTCTCTCTCTCACTCAAGCACGCACTGGCTGGATGTGCCTGTCGCCATCTATAAAACAGAAATGCCTTCTCCACCTGGCAGGGCGTGGAGCACGTCGGAGAAGACAGGAGCCTGGGCGTGAACTCCGGGTTAATGTACAGACACTGACAGTCTTTGTTCCTCCTCAGGCCCTCAGCTTTCTAATCTTTGCCCAAGGCGGTGCCCTCAGATTGGGTGGGGCTCCCTGAGCCCCAGCTGTTTCGGGTTTGGGGCAAGGCCACAGAATGTTGATTTCCAATGAAACCCGTGGAGGGCCCGGCTGCAGGGAGTGGGGTGCGACCCCACCCCCACCCTCGGAGGCCTCGGCAACACCTTTTCAGGGAACATCACAGCTTCTGCTCCCCTCTAGGAAGCCTTTTCCAAGGCTTTCCCCAGCCTCTGAGCTAAGACTTACCATTTTGGTTACTCTCGAAAGGAAAATAAAACTGGAGACAGATGGAGACTTGGGGTGTGGGAGGGAGGCATCCCAGGCTTGAAGGTTCCATGGGGACACCAGCGGATTTCTTGAGTTCAGTTCTTTCCTGCAACACAGGAACATGGGTTAACATTTTTTTTTTTTTTTTGGCTCCTCCTGATGACCTCTCCGCTTGCCTGAGGTGCACGTCCCTGCTTTCCAGGCCCTAGAAATGAGGAACTTTGTCTCTGGTCCATGAAGGATTTGGATTTGGATTCTTTCCACTTACGTTTTGGTCCAGCTCACCCTCGCCTAATGTCCACAGCAGGAGGGTCACTCAAGGCCATGGGTGCTGTCCCTGCTGAGGCTGACTGTTTGGCGCCTCCCTTCAGAGCAGGGATACCAGCGCCTCGAAGTCTTTTCTGACTTAGCAGCAGGTTCCACCCCTATTGCTCACTATCTCCGTTCCCCCCACTCCTCCACTTTCAACAGTTTCTGATTGACTCTTGTATGTTAGAGCAGATCGAGCCCAAGAACAGGGAGAATGTTTTACCGAACATTCTGGGCTTCATTACTACTTGTCTCCTTTTGTTCCTCTGTTTTGGTTTTTTAGGGAACATACATAACCTGTGATATCTGTGATAGGATCCCCGTTAGCGATTCAGGGCGCATCCCTGGACACGTTCCAGGACCCCGTTTTCTCGTGTGGAGCAGGATGCTGGGTGAAATGCTCTTCAGGGTTCCTGGAAGTTTACTTCTGTGCTGGTTACTCCATGATCTAAACACCGAAGCCAGCTCCCTTCTTTCAGGTTGAATCTTCCCCAGAGGCCGGGGAAGCGTTTCATTCCTGATGGTTTCAGAAATGTTACTGCCACGCAGATCGAGGGCCTCTGAGTTCTCTTAAAACGAACAGCGAAAGTGACTGGTTTTCCTTTCACCCTTTTTCTAACCAGTATTTTGGGTTCGTGCTCTACCGAACGGTGCTTCCAGAGGACTGCGTCGACCCCACCCCCCTCACGGCACCCTTCGGGGGCGTCCACGACCGGGCCTATGTCTCTGTGGATGGGGTAAGAATTGTCTCTGAGCTGCGTGTCTGCCCCGCAAGGGGATGTGTGTTCTCCTAGTGACATGGAATTTGAGACCTTTGCCCACTTTTTCAACCTCAGGCTCTGCCCCTTCTCATGTTGGCCCTTAGCTGTGCCCCTCATTTGCTCACATGGCCTCACTCACGCTCCACCTGCCTGGAATCACTCCCTCACCCATTTTTTGGGGGGTGGGGGGCATTAATTCTCACCCGAGGATATTTTTTTCCATTGATTTTCAGAGAGAGTGGAAGGGCAGGACGAAGGGAGGAGGGGAGAGAGAGAGAGAAAGAAACACATCGATTGGTTGCCCCCTGCACCCCCTGACTAGGGCCAGGGATGGAGCCTGCAACCCAGGTACGTGCCCTTGACTGGGAATCGAACCTGTGACCCTTTGGTGCACAGGCCAACGCTCTAACCACTGAGCAACACCAGCCAGGGCCCCCTCACCTGTTGTAACCTGGAGGGCCCTGCTCAAGGCCCTACCTTCTTGGAGACCTTTCTGATCTCCCCAGTCCAAGGCCATCCTTTCTGACTGAACACTGCATGTCACCCATGTTTTCTTGGCTCCTTGAGGACAGGGTCCATTTTGTATGTACCAGAGTGGGTAGTGACTCATTTATGAAAATTTATATTCTGAAGGATTGTTCATGATAATTATAGCTAAAATCCACAAAGAACTTTGGTTCTTTGATATGTGTTAGGATTTCCGTTCCTCACACTGAAATGTTCACATGCAAATCTCTTCTACACATGAAGAGATTTTCCTAACCAAGAAAATTGGTTCAGAAAATTTTAAATGAAAATATTTCCATTCTGTTGTCATTGGCGGCTTTATTTTCAGTGGGAGCAAGTTTCTAAGACATTATGTGTAGAATGATGACAGTTGTTTCTTAGATTTCAATCTAGGAATTGTGTTAGTGAATTATGGTCAGGAACATTAATTTCTTTTTAAATCTCATCTTTTAAAAAATTAGGAATATGTTGCTGCTAAAATGCCTGTTGTTTTCTTTCATTCTATTATACATTTTTAGTGGTTAATGCATCATATCAGGTGTTTGAGGTGAGAATACTCCACCTAACTCTCTGATTTTTATCCCATTTTTCTGATTTTGTCTCAGCTCAGCATGGTGCTTAGAAGCTATTTTTTTATGACTGCCTTTTGTGCTAGGAGAACACAAGGAGGTTCCTGTGATAGGAATCCTCCCCTGGCATGTTTCGCCTCCATTCCCTTTCTTTTTTTTCTTCTTTTTTTAAAATTTATCTTTATTGTTGAAAGTATTACAGGTGTCCCATTTTTCCCCTCCAATTGACCCCCTCCACCTCACTCCCACCCCCTCCCCAGGCCTTCACCCCGTTATTGACTGTGTCCATGGGTTATGCATATATGCATATAACTTCTTTGGTTAATCTCTTCCCACCCTCCATCCCCTTCCCTCTTTCCCCTGAAATATGATCGTCTGTTGCATGCGTCAATGTCTCTGGATCTATTTAGTTTGTCAGATTCTTTTGTTCATTAGCTTCTTCTTAAAGAAGACCCTTCAACATTTCCTTTAGTGCTGGTTTGGTGGTGATGAACTCTTTTAACTTTTCCTTGTCTGAGAACCTCTTTATCTGACCTTCAGTTCTAAATGATAGCTTTG